GACAGGGTTTCTCTGTGTAGCTTTGGCCTTTCCTGGAACTCAGTTGGTAACCCAGGCTGGCCATGAACTCAGGGAGATCCACCTGGCTCTGCCTCCTGAGTGCTGGGATTAAAAGCGTGCATTACCACTGCCCGGCCAGTCTCAATTTAAAAGGTATAATTTTAATTGGTGGCACATGTCTTTAAAAAGAAAAATATTTTTGTAGGAATTAAACAGTATCTATTTTAGATGTATTATTTTGCAGTTGTAGCCTATTTGAACTAATGCTATGCTCTCCTAATGAGAGAAGTGTTACTTTTGCTGGCAGGTTTTTGTTTGAGACTGGGTCTCATTAAGTAGCCTTGGCCAGCCTGGAGCTCACTATGTTAACCATGATGGCCTCTAAATTCTATCTGCCGCCCAAGTGCTAGGCTTAAAGATCTGTGCCACCATGCCCAACCTTGATGGAAGTTTTCTTTGTTTTTTGTTTTAATCTTCTTCCAGAAACTATTTTAAGTGTTCATTAGACCCACAATAAGTACCGTGAGTTAGGGCTTTAACAAGCATACGGAACGGTGCTTGCCTTCAGAGAATAAAGATTAAGATAGCACTTTGAAATGACAGTCTTGAGGATTATCGTAAGAAGTGGGCTTTGGGCTGAGAGTGATGGCATGTGGTAACATAGTGGTAGAGGACATCTGAATTCGAAGCCAGCCCGGGATACAGTGTGAGTTCCAAGCAACAGACTCTGCCTTAAGGAAGGAAGTTTAATATGCTGGCCCTTGGGGTATAAGCTTGTAATACCACCACTTGGGGATCTTTTAAAATCTGAGGAGTACTTGTCAAAATATCATGGAAAGAACCAGCTTAGTAGTTCAGTAGCATGCTAAAGTTTATGGAGCTGGATGCTGTGTGGTGTGATTCATAGAACCCAGGCTTCATTTTATCTCTTTCTATTTGTACTAATTCTTGATTGCCTGTGTCCTATTGATTGGCTAGGTCGAAGAGCTTAAAGAAACTGTGAAGGAAGAATTTATGCCTTGGGTTTCTCAGTATCTAGTTATGAAAAGAGTCAGTATTGAGCCAAACTTTCATAGCCTGTATTCAAACTTTCTTGACACATTGAAAAATCCAGAATTTAACAAGATGGTTCTGAATGAGACCTACAGAAACATTAAGGTAAGAGTTCTTACATGTCTTTTTAGTAATTGCTTTAAGTTTATTTTAGCAGATAGAACTTAGGATCTTTTGTTCTTTTTCTCTTTGTTATCTATGTTAGATACCTATGGAAAGTGCTGTAGGTTTTATGATGTTTAACTACTGGGTTCTATAAACTTAATTTTAAATTATTCATGCACATGTGTGTGCTCAGGGACAGCTTTCAGGAGGTGGTTCTCTATAATGTGGATCTCCGGCTCAAACTCAGAATATCTGGTTTGGTGGCCAACACTTTGACTTGCTGAATCGTCTAGCTGGCCCAAGAATTGAATCTTTCAACCTTGTGTATTGCTTAAGTGTAATGCCCTTTTAAAATTTGTTTTCATCTTTCCATGTATGGTGGCTTCAGAAGTTTGCTTTCTGATACATGGAACTATTCAGTGTATTTGTGGGATATTATCTTGTTGACCTGGTGACACACATCCACTCTCCCTCATCTCTTTGGAGGGTGTGTGGAACATGTTCACAGTTCTCTATTGTGGGTCCCCACCCCCACCCCCACCGAGACAGGGTTTCTCTGCGTAGCTTTGCACCTTTCCTGCAGCTCACTTGGTAGCCCAGGCTGGCCTCGAACTCACAGAGATCCGCCTGGCTCTGCCTCCCAGGTGCTGGGATTAAAGGCGTGCGCCACCACTGCCCGGCCTCTATTGTGGTCTTTAAGAACTAGAAATAGCCTTACAGAAAACCATTCTACTGGTAAAGTGTTGGCTATCTAGATTCCAGACCTATTTGTGAAATAGCTTTGGTTCTGGAATTCTTTGCAGTATAAGGTCAAACTCTTATTATACTTGTTCCATAAAGTTTGACTGTTTCGTTTTTAAAGGGCCATTTATATTTGAATATGAAACTTTTTCAAGAAACAGTGAAATCAAATAGAGCTGAGATCATCCATTGTTGAGTAACCTGGGTCTGGCTTAGGAAGTAGCACTATATTTAAACCTGTGGATGGGAATTTTCCCCATTCTTGGTTACGCTGTAGTGCAAAAAGAATTCCTGGCTCCTTGTTGCACAGCTGACTTGTGTCATTTGGCTGTTGCTTTATGGAGTTAAGGAACATAATGTTCAGATTTTATTATCTTATAGTAAGGATTATTGTAATCTTTGGAAGTTCGCATATGATTTTGGCAAATTTCAATAATAACCATTTTTGTTTAGTTATTCTGTCATGCTGGGATTCCAACCCAGAGTCTTGTGTATGATAAAAGTATTCCACGTATTGAACTCCTTAAAACATATTTTCAGATGTTTGCTAGTGAACATAGTAAGGTAATATCAATATGATACATGGAATTGATCTTCTTTGGGTATATTCTCAGAATTGATAGCTTACTTTTAGAATGGTTAATGGAATTCTCAAATATGAAATTGAGAATATCTTTCATAAGCTTATTCTAATATTTATAAATCCTTAACTGTTGTAGGTGCTGCTGACCTCTGATAAAGCTGCGGCCAATTTCTCAGATCGTTCTTTGCTGAAGAATTTGGGACATTGGCTGGGAATGATCACATTAGCTAAAAATAAGCCCATCTTGCACACGGTGAGTTTTCAGAGTTTTCAGTTGGCTGGAAGGAATGTTGTAATTATCACTGGGCTTTTACAAGACTTTGACCATGTTAGGATTCTTAATTCTATGTCCAATAAGCCAGTGAGGTATGCTTGCTTGTACCCCCTTTTTCTCAGGCAGGGTCAGATAATGTATTGATGGGATTTTGAGAGATGAGCTTAGTAAGTGAGATACTTTTCCTGGGTTTTTTATTTTCTCATTTTTTTCCCTGAGGGTTTCTGGAACAGATTTTCAGCTTCTCAAAAGTTTTGTTTTAAAATTCTAGGACTTGGATGTGAAATCTTTGCTGCTAGAGGCTTACGTTAAAGGACAACAAGAGTTGCTTTACGTAGTGCCCTTTGTTGCCAAAGTTCTAGAGTCCAGCATTCGTAGTCTGGTGAGTAAATGTTATTCATGCTGAATTGTGAGAGACTGTTAACACAATTCCCAAGAGAGAGTATAGCTTTGTTCTTGTGTACATAGAGCTATTTCAATAGGTCTTCCTTAGTTGATCTTAGATATTTGTAAAGTTAGGTGAAATTATAAGACAGAATATATCAACTTTGGTGTTGTTCTGGAATGTATTGTAGGGGTTTTGTCAGGGCCCCGTAAATTTATGTGTTGAAATAATACTAAATAATGGTTTGATTAAGAGCTAGCTTAATACCATAACTTTTCTTTAGGTTTTTAGACCACCAAACCCCTGGACAATGGCAATTATGAATGTATTGGCTGAGCTGCACCAGGAACATGACTTAAAGGTAAAATTGTTGCTTCACCCTTGGAGAATTCTCTGCCTTAAGATGATTAAACTTTGTATTAAAGACAGACCATTGAACAGGGCAGTGGGCAGTGGGCATTGTACCATTGGATTGAGGGATAGTATATATTATGAAGAAAGCTCAAATTTTCTCTTCAAAATTCTAATCAAATACTGGAATTATTCAGTTAAACTTGAAGTTTGAAATTGAGGTGCTCTGTAAGAACCTTGCATTAGACATCAATGAGCTCAAACCTGGAAACCTGCTGAAAGATAAAGATCGCCTGAAGAACTTGGATGAACAACTCTCTGCTCCAAAGAAAGATGTCAAACAGCCAGAAGAGCTTCCTGCAATCACGACAACAAGTAAGTGCAGAAGTCTAGCCTTTGTTAGCCAGAACCTTCTCAAATGGTACATCTCCACATAAGGAAACCATTAAATGTCCCACGTCGTACAAAATTTTTGGTGAGCCTTCTAATTATCAAGTGAGCATAACATCTAAGGGTAGTCACCTTATCAGATTTTCTCTGATCTCTTAACATAATCTTAAGCAAATATGAGTCAGTTAATTGTGTTTGTATCATAACCAGGCTAGTTTATCTCTTACATTATTTGAAGTGTCAAAAGTACTTGAATGGCACAATAGCCTGCATTATTCCTTCAAATCTAGGGTTTGTCAGATCAGGCACATCTGCTAGGAGAACATTATTTTACCTGTATCAAGATGATCAGGACTGGGTTTAGGGGTGCAGGTCTGTAATCCTAGCACTTGAAAAGCTAAAGCCAGGAGGATTGTGAGTTTGAGGCCAACTTAAGCTACATATTTAGTTCTCACCCAGCCTGGGACCCTGACAAGTAAACGTGTGTGTGTGTGTGTGTGTGTGTGTGTGTGTGTGTGTGTGTGTGTGTGTGTGTGTGTGCTGTAGTTATGTTAAACAGTGAGGTATTGTTAGACTATACCAGCCACTACCCTGAACCATTTTCTCCCCTCCTCTTGGCATCTGACAAATTCCAAGTGAACCTGGTCACGGCTAGGTTAAAGATTGGTGAAGATAGGTACCCATGGCTAGTGTAGATTTACCCTTAAAATATTTCTGTGCAGTCGGGTGTGGTGGTGCTCGCCTTTAATGCCACCACTTGGGAGACAGGAAGGTAGAGCTCTGTGTTCGAGGCCAGCCTGTTCTACAGAATGAGTTTCAGAATAGATCTGTTACATGGAGAAAAAACGTTTAAACAAACAAAAAATGTTTCTATGCTGTGGAACACTGCCACCGATGGACATTTATATACTTGGCTCATAGTTCATGTAGTAGCAAAATTTCTTTTTCAGGATGGGAAAGATGTGACCTCAGCTGCCCCCTTCTCAAGAGTCTAACCAGTTAGTTGAAGTAGATAAAATCCACTTAATGGCCAGCTAATTTTTGCATATATTCAACAAATGTGCTCTTATCTCTTTACACCTAGCAACTTCAACAACACCAGCTACCAGTACTACGTGTACAGCCACAGTTCCACCACAGCCTCAGTACAGCTACCACGACATCAATGTCTATTCTCTT